TGTGCGCGCGCGTGTGTGTGTGTCGGTTCATATTTATTTTATTTTTGAAGATGTAGATCTAGTATTTTTATATCCAAATGCTCTCCTTCTAGGGATGAAGTGTCTTTTTCCGATGTGTGCAAGTGGCAACCTACTTTGGGCTGTCAGTAAAGTTAACATGCACTGGAATCAACATTGCCGTGTGGTCTGCTGACCTGTATTATATGGTAGTTACTTCTGTGGCGTTCTCTCTTTCTGATGATTGTATGACTGTTTTGATTGTCCCTCACAATCAATTGTTGGGCAGCGTGGTGGAATCAGGCTCTCGTCAAAATAATCAAAGTGAAGAAACTTGTATTTTTCCGCAGGTTTGTAAATTTTTATCACATTTTTGTTTTTTGGCTCAACACTTTTCATGCACAACCAAGACTCATTTTTTGTGTGGATTCTTCTGAAAAATGTTGATTAAAGGCACAAAAATGTAAATTTTCAGTTACCACGGACTCTTAAGCTAAGGAAATAACTAATCTTTGGCGGCCATTTTCTCACCAATTTTACCCCTGAAAACAGGTGACCCCCACCTCTTTCATTCTCAAATATCTCGGTTTGTATTTATGATAAACGGATATTTTTTTCATCCAAATAAAGACAAGTACACAAGCTTTAAGATGATACCAATAACTCGATGTGCCCAAAAAATTTTGAGAGCCTGATTACACCACGATGCCTCACATATTGTAGTTACTTCTGTGGCGTTCTCTCTTTCTGATGATGTTATGACTGTTTTGATTGTCCCTCACAATCAATTAGAGCTACTGTATTTTTGTGGGTGGTTGGAGCGGGCTCTGGTTTGATTTGCTCCTTCCTTCTTCTTGTCAAACATCTACGAGGGGCATACCGAACGTTTTTTTTACTTGACTATGAAGGAATAAAGGTAGAAAGCTGAAATTTGGGGTGAAAGCCAAAAATCATCTTCCTAGAATCCACGTAAATTTTGGGGAATTTTAAATTACTGGTTTTACAACCAGCGCACTGTGAGTGAATGGGGGTTTGTTGTTGTCCAGTTTCAATTTAAAAAATGGAGAAAATTGAGTGCAGTGCAGTAATGAAGTATTATTTTGTTCTTGGAAGGCAAGCAACTACAAGATATTTTTGCGGAGATGCATGCCGTATATGGAACTGATTGCCCATGCTATGCTATGGTAAAATTTTGATGTAAAAAAAGTGATGATGAGGTCAAAGAAGCGGTAGAGGGCTGGTTTTCTGACATAGAGAGGGTCCTCTATTCTCAAGGTTTTTTATTCAAGGTCATACACAGATGACAAACAGGTATTACTCTGGGAGGCGACTACATAAAGAAGTGCCTTTTCCCGCCGTATGAGTGACAACCCGAATATTGAAACTATAGAACACTATCAGTGGGTGGTTGGCGGGTGCTCTGGTGTGGTTTGCTCCTTCTTTCCTATCAAACAGGTGGTTGGCGGGTGCTCTGGTGTGGTTTGCTCCTTCTTTCCTATCAAACATCTATCGTCCTTCTTTTTTACTTTTGTTACTCTCTTGTAATACCTCTAATCTTCTGGCGCTCATATGACCTTATGCAGTTGCGAGCGCCGTAAAACCTCTACTAAAACAAGCAATTTCCTATCAAACATCTATCGTCCTTATCCCCTCTCCTTCTTATTTATGTTTGTTACTCTCTTGTAACACCTCTAATCTTCTGGCGCTCATATGACCTTATGAAGTTGCGAGTGCCGTAAAACCTCTACTAAAACTAAAAAACTTGACTCTCAACACAAGTCGAATGTGTTTTATGTCTGTGGTTGGCGAGCCCTCGCGTGGTTTGCTCCTTCTTCTATCTATCATCCTTATCCCTCTTTCTTTTTTCCTGTTGATATTACTCTCTTGCCATTTGTCCTAATGGTGTTCCAAGTGCCGTGAAACCCTTAGTTGTGGGTGGTTGGTGGGTGCTCTGGTATGGTTTGCTTCTTCTTTCGTATCAAAGATC